CTTAAAGAGATGCCTATAGCCACACTTGAGGAACTCCAATTGAAACAATATAGTGATCCACATGATGCCAATAGAGCAAGGGCTAAGCTTGACTATGTCAAGTGCAGCCAGTGGTTAGGCACCATGCACAACCTCCAATTATATCGCAGCAAACTCTTTGCCACTCCCGGGTTGGATAGCTCCACAGTCATGCTTGGATGTTGTCAAAGATGCGGTTCCCTCAAACTAATCGCCTTCGGATGAGACTCGTTGCTTACAAGGACTAGCTTTCCCTCATGAACGATGTAGTTAGCCTAGAGGCACAAGACCTCGTTCACATAATAAGTGGCAAGAAGGCCAAAAGCCGTAGACGATACGGGGGCAGCAACCGTCTTGTTCTGCATAACCTGTTGGAGGCCGATGAAGAGGCCTATGCAGATGACACAACTCTTCGTGACGACCAAGAGCAAGACCCCAATACAGCCTGTTCTTCATCAGCCCACGAGTCTGAAATTGTTAACGAAGATTAAAAAATGAATTCCTTTAAAAAGACTGCCAATACTAACAAGGGACCAAACCGGAGCTCAATCAAGAACACAGTTCCACTCCCCAAAGGAGCCAAAATCCCATCTAGTCCAAAGGATGCTTCAACCAAACCTTGGTTGAAACTGTCGATAAGTGAGGATAAATGGAGGAACAAGCTCAAGAGGAAGGTTTGTCTGCCTTGCAAGAAACCGGGACATTCAGTCCAACGATGCTTTTGCTTGCTGGTAAACCAGAACAAGGCGTAAAGTCCTTGTCAACACACTCTACAACAAGAGAGGCTGAACCGATAAGTGGCAGTTCCTTTATGGGACCTGATTCGCTTCAACAACCTTCTAATGCTGATTCCAGGGCTGATGCAGTTCCACTCCTATACGTCCAGCTTTGGGAGGAGTCTAGAAAGAATGGCTTCCACTATCACTTGTAGTTATGAGATGAGCTCAAGCAAAGCCATGCTCAAGTGACGGTGCAGTTGATCTTCCTCAAACTTCTCATCAATTGCCGTTACATTTGTGTGTTGATGAATTGTGGCCCAACAGTAAATTTCCTTTCTCCTAATCGACTTTGTAAGGGGGGTTTGGGGATGAAGCAAGTGGAATTGCAGAACCCTGGCCCGACTCAAGTAGGCAACCAAGAGGGTGTTACATCAACACATGTTGTCAAAGGTGTGCGTACTACCTTTCACGCAGATCACATTGAATTTTTACGTCCTCGATAAGTTCCCCTTAGACATCGTTTTTGGCTTAGGCTGGTTGAAGGCTCAATGTGTCGAAATTGTGTGTGAGAACTCATTCTTCGTAGAACGTGATACCAAGGGAAAGGAGTATCCGGTCCTCTTGGATGAACCGTGTGAGTCCCCGATGATTTTGTTGAATGCGATGAAGTTCTGCAAAATGTGGCGCTGATTCAAGGAAGATGAGTCCCCGATGAGCTTTTGTTAGACCTTCCCGTGTGCCTACTACTTTTGCAGCTTGTAATAATTCTACTTTGAATGGAGTATCTATTTCGAATTCCTCTTCTTCTTTTCCAGCTACTTCTAGTCCAAACGATTCTACTTCAAATTCTATTGTTTTGGCCGCTCCTTCGCAGCCTGATTTGCTTGCGCCTGATTCTGATTCTCCACCTCCGGAGATTCCAGCAAACATACACAACCTCCTCAACTGATTTTCGAAACCACGGGGAGTTCTCGTGCGTCCGGTCCAGCGAAAAAATGAGTTGATTGAAGGCAGGGTTCCTCCAAAAGGTTTTGTCTACCGTATGGGACAAGGCGAGTTGGAGGACCTACGAGGTGAATCAGACCAAGTCTGAATTTGGTGCACCGGTTTTGTTTGTAAGAAAGGAGGCAGACATCGGATGTGTATTGAGTACCGTGGACGAAACAAAATTACAAGAAAAAAATGCTTACCCATTGTCACACATAGATGACTTACTAGATGTTGCAGGTGGGTGCAAGGTCTTTTCCAAGATCTATCTCAAGTTTGGCTACCCCGACATTGAAGTCGATCCGGCCGGCCAGCACAAAACTGCGTTCAAAACACGCGATGGGAGGAAGAGCGCTTGGCCTGCCACCTTTGCTATGGTGGACAGCACCCGGTACAAGGAGGAGGAAGAAGGGGCCTCGGAGGAGAGTGGCCAGGGGTACTTACCTGGCAATGATGGATACCATCTTCATCTCCTTGGTAGACGCTGCATCTGGAAGGCCCTAGTGGGACAGTGCTGCATCAAGAAGGCTTCACGACAGAATCAGGCATGGCTGGCCGAGGTGTAGAGGACATAGTTTCTTTTGCGTTGTTTTTTAACATCGGGGCAAGGCCCCTAGTAGTCCACCATAGCCATCACCTGTCCAATATGGAAGAAGGTGGAGGTCATGGCTATGATGGACCTCATGTTGTGTTGGCAGTAAGAGAGGGATTCAGACATTTGGTTTTGGTTCAGCTATTCATTGTTATGAAACGGTATTCACCAATTCGTGGTAGCTGAG